GGAAAAATACGTTCAGATATCAGAAAACATCCGGTGGCTTTGAAAAGTCCTTGGGAAAAATATTTTTACCAGTTACTGGCCTTTTGGATACCATTCGTGTTAGATGGAAAATATTTTTTTCATCATCACAATTCGAAAAGATATTTAGCTAGCCTCGCTTAAATGAATCACCCTATATACGCCAGGAAAATTGCGCGTATATACACGCTAATGGTGCAAATGGGTCAACATCCTTAGATATTCAAATTCGTCCCTCATCGTCCTGGCTAATAAATTTCATTTGCACAATCCTCTTTACGGCGCCTCGGTGGCAAGTGGACGTTGATAAAATTGTCGTCAGTTAATGGCGAGCAACGATACTCGTTACGAGATACAAACGGTTTAAAAGGCGACGCTAGAAGAATCGACATATTGGGTATTTAGAAAGTAATTTCGTTTTTCCCGACGAGTATTGTTAGTTATATCTTTAACCAGCCAACTTCATTCTAAGTCATATTGTCATTATATATTTTGACAGCTAACGTTTTAAGGTTTATTTAGAGAAAAAATTTTTTGCTTTTTTATTACCGAAAAAAGAGTAAGAATGCTGTTCGAGCGAGGAAAAAGTTATGTAAAGTATATTGAGATATCGCTCTTTATTTTTTATTTTTGATACGATATTCAAAAAAAAGCAACTACATAGAATCTGCAAAGAAACTTTCTTTAAAAATAAACCTTGAAATGTTAGCTGTCAAAGTATTCATGTAATGACAATATCGTTTCAAATGAAGTTGGCTGGTTAAAGATACAACTAACGACACACGTCGGAGAAAAAAAAACGAAATTACTTTCCGAACAATTATAGCTGGTTACGAGAGCGGCGAGAGACTCGCCTTATCGAGTTTCGAAAGTCGGTAAAGGAAAGATTTTTTTCGTCTTTCTCTCTCTGATTCGATCGTGAGATTTTATTTTGTAACCGGTCCCACACAGACCCATTGCCAGCCACGCTAAGCTCGCGCGAATGCTTATATCGGCTGGATGGAATGTTATTACAAGCCCGTCGGGGTTATTACAAGCGCGGACTCGAATCAAATTCCAAGCATAATGAAGCAATACAGACCAGACCAGGCTTGTCGGTCTTCCTCTTTTGGCATCTACCCGCATTGCTCGCGTTTTCAATGCGAGCGCGCGCCCGTCTCGCGAATTAATTACTCTAGCGCGCGTGCACACTCGTATTCGTCCCGCGTTTTTATTCTCCCATCCTCGTCATAGCGCGCGATGAGAATCCGTTTTCATCGAGAGCGTGTCGCCGGCCTGCTCGATCCGACACGCCGAAAATTAAATTTTCATACCGGACACAGACG